TGGATGGATGGATGGATCATGGATGGATGGATGGATGGATGGATGGATGGATGGATGGATCATGGATGGATGGATGGATGGATGGATGGATGGATGGATCATGGATGGATGGATGGATGGATGGATCATGGATGGATGGATGGATGGATGGATGGTGGAGGGATGGATGCTCACTGTCTCCTGTTCCCTTCATTCCTGGCCTATTCCCTATATCTAGTGGCAATATTTTGCATTTTAACAGCACGGAATCTCCACAGAAAATGAGAGGACATCCCAATTTGAAGAGAAAAACAGCTTTGAGCAATTACCCCGAATCCCTCAGAACTGACCACAAGGCAACCTGATGTCTGTGGGTACAACAGGACAGCCACAAACACCAGCAGAGGAGGCACCTCTGAGCCTTTGCTCTGTTCTGAGCTTTTCTAAGGAAAAGATATTCTACCCCTCCTCACAGCTGGTTCAATGGGTGAAGCTGTAACATACACATGGACAGGCAAAAATGTGTAAAGAGAAAAGCCACCAGTCCTGAAATGAGAAAGCCTCGTTTTAGATCCTGCTCTGTCAATATTTTAGAAACATTTTTAGATAATTATGCAGTGAGAGGTTTTTATTTGCCCTGCCTGGTCTGCTTTGCTTTCCTGGGTGCTCTGCATCCCAGGGGTACCAGCACCACAAACTCACTGCAGGTCCTGCAGGCTCCACTGCCCAGAGCTCCAGGAACTGCCCCACTCACTCCTGTGGATCAGATTTCATGGACAGAGCCCCCTCAGCTTTGGCAGATGAATTCCAGCACTGCACATTATGGCTAATGCTGCTCACAAGTTTAATGCAAAGCAGGTTTGCAGTGCTGGGCACGGGCAGCAGGATCGGGGCAGCCCTGCCTGCCTGGATCCTCAGCTACCCCAGCAGGGAAGCCTGGAGAGTGAAATAAAACGATGAAAATTCCTCTTAAAGAAGAGATTCCTCCCTCTAGAGATGCATTTTAGGCTTTCCCAGAGAACGGTTCCACCTTCTGGGGCTGGGGCTGGTGTCAGCCTGCCCCGCGTTCGTTCCGCAAGGCGCAGGCGGCCGCGGGATCGCTGCACACACCACAAGAAAAGGAGCAACATATTCCAGAGGCAATTAGGAGATGACAGACCACAGCACACTTACATGTGAGCAGCAGCAGCTCGTCACCCCGACACGAGTGTTGGAGCTCAGTGCTGGCTGCCAGGCTTGGCTTTTTTGTCCCTTATTTGCCATCATTTTCTTTCTGGATTTTTCCCAGCGAAATATGGGGATCTTGCACTTTAAATCTCACTTTTTCGGGTGTCATTCTGTACTGGAGGCAGCTGTGGCCAGATGTGAGCCAGGGCAGAGCTGGGCACGGTGGGTACAGCTTCCCTGGATGGATTTTTCCTGCTCATATCACCATTCCCAACTGGAACACGCAGGCAGACTCTGGGGCGTGACTGTGTTCCGAGAAAACTCTGCAAACAGCATGGCCCGGGAATTCTTTCCACTTGCATGAAAATATCCCTCAAATAGTGGAAAAATGTGTCAAATGACGCTGTGGGGGAGAAGTGGTTTAATTAAAACAGCCACAGATGCTGGAGGCAGACTCTGAGTTCCACTCCGAGCCTCCAGTTTGGGGCTGGCAGACAACATTTCAAGGAACTGGCCCCAAAATCAGCTGCAGGGCAAACCTGGTGCCTGGATGGTGATGTTTGGACAAGCACCATCCAAGAGAATGCACTACCAGCATCCCAGAGAAGAAGGTTTTGGATTATTATGGCCACAGTTCCACACACAGCCACATTTACTGTCTGTCTCACCCACTGCCCACAGCAATGCTGTGAAAATACTGGAATTTTGGGGAAACACTGAGGTCAAAATGAAGCCTGACTTGAAATTCCTCATACTTTTATTTATGTATCTGTTCTGAGAATGTCATGTCTGATATATCCTGAACCAAAAGCAGAAGCACCAAAGCACTTGGGAGTTACTTCTCCTGAAGCAGAATAAAAAGCAAAGCAGCCCCAGCTGTACATGACCACAGGCAAGAACAGCAAACATTTTGAACCCAGGACAGAAACTGTGAAGGACACAGAGGAACACACAACCCATCAGCATTATCTCACATTCAGGGCACAGAGGATGGGAGGGAGTGAGGAAATCAAGGTTTTCTGTACCCTGCCATGGATTTTGGTAGGAAAAGGGCTGCAGAGGGAGATTGCCAAGGGATTTCCAGGGCAGCCTTACCGAGGCAGGTCCTGCCGTCCGTGTGCAGGCGGAAGCCGGGCTGGCACTCGCAGTAGAAGGAGCCCAGGGTGTTCACACAGCGGTGCTGGCAGCCCCCGTTGTGCACCTGGCACTCGTCAACATCTGCAAAAAACACAAGGGAAAAGTGGGCAAAAGCTCAGGAGAGTGGACAGGAGGGTGTCTGAGCTCAGGAATATTTATCCTCTGCTGCCCGAATCTGGATCTGGGGAATGAAAGCAAAGGGAACAAGATTGGCCATTTTGTTATGTTCAATCAGTCAAGCTATTTGTGAAATTCCAGGGACAAAGCTGCAACCAGTGAACAACAACCAAAAAAACCCAGTTTGATTTGTCAGTCAGCACAAACCATCCTCATCTGATCACCTGCCAGCGGTCACCTCTCCCACTGACTCCAGGATAATGGATTAATTGATATTTTACACTTCCTTGCTTGTCAAAGGAAATTTTAAGTTTCTGAGACAGATTTCTTCCTGTGCCATAATCAGAAACATGGGGATGATGTGGACAGAGCTGCACAGTTCCTTAATTCCTGCCATTTGTGGGTGTGCACAGCCGTGCACCTACCCAGCCTTTCAGCCTGGAAAGGATCAGAGAGGGGAACCAGACCCCACCCCACAAACAGCAAAGCACCCAACCCTTCCCTTCCCCTTGGAGAGAAAAACTCCAGCAGCTTTGGGACTTTCCGTTTGGGTTTTCTTTGGGTTTCTCTTTGCACTTTCTTCACCTCCAGCTCATCCAAGCCCCTCCCAGCAAGGAGAGCCCTGAGCCCAGCTCAGTTCCATCTCTAAGAAGATAAAGAAACATTTCCTGAGTGAATCATGGGGTGGGAACCCGGCCGTGTCCTCGCACGCCAGAGGTGCAGGAACGTGCCCAGCCCAGCCCCAGCAGTGCCTCGTGCCCCAGCCCAGCTCTGCTTCACCCACAGCTCCCACTGGGCAGGAAAAGGACACCAGAAAAAAGAGCAACACAGCCTTGGCTGAGCCAAATTTTATGTTCATCAGATTAATTGCCAAGAAAATCAGCCAGCAGCGAGGGAAGGTCTGGGTCAGGCATGGAATGGGAAGAGTGGGAAAGGTGAAGCATGTTTGAGTCTTCTGAGCTCTGCAGTGATAACATAAAATTACCCTTTTCTCAGAAAGACTTAAAACATTAAAACCTAAAGTTCAAATCCTGTCCCAGTGATTCCCAGAGAACCCCCAACCTTGTCTTGAGGTGTCCTGCTACACTGGTCTTGCTGGGCTCTTCCTGCAGAGCTCCCACTGCAGCTGTGGTGTCCATTAACCCAGCAAAAAGCTCATTTCTATAATGCCAGCCCTTTGCTTTATTCAGTGAACTGAGCCTTTTGGGAGGTTTTGGTGTTTTCTTCCTGTTGTTTCCAAGACACTAACTAGTGAAAGAAAAGAAAATGAATAGATTTTTGAGGTGAAACATAAGCTTTGAGTGATGCTCTATGAAGAGTGAGCCAAAGCCAAAGTGGCTTTTCAAGGGGAAAAATGTGATGGCAGGAGTCTGACATGCTGGTCAAAGCAACCTAATTCTGATTAAATCATTTTCCTCTGCACACACTTGGGATCTGCAGAGCCCTAGAGTCCCTGGGGCACTCCCTACTCAACCCTGTGGGCAGGATTAGCTATTAATACACAGAAATGGCTCTATTCAGCTCAAGAACAGGAAAACTGGGGTTTGGGAAGGTCTTATGTAGCATAATAAAGTTTCTTGGTCTGAATTTAAATGACTATTCCATTGCTTCCCTTCAACGCTAATCTGAAACTGTTGAGAATTCACTGTCCAAGAAACTTAGTGATGTGTCGAGTAAACTTCTTACTTTCACCCCATTACTCATACTCAGTAATTTTACATCTCCTCTCTCCATGTCTCCTCTTCCCCCTTTGTACTTTTCACCCTCTAAATCTCCATGATTGCAGAGGGTTTTCCACATCCCAACTCCCTCCCGGCCCGGGAGAGCGGCCGTAGCTTCCCTGCCACCACCCCCACAAAACCCACCCCATCCCAGAGTCTTCCTGGAGCCTCGCTGATCTCTGCATCCCAAATTCTCCCTCTCCCCAGGGAGATTTTGGGACGCCCTGCACAATGGTGTGACCAAAACAAATCTGTCCCCAGGGGCAGCGAGGGGGCAGATCCAGCAGCCAAGCCTGGCAGATCCAGCAGCACCTCCAGGCATGCCCGAGGCTCACCCCAGTGAGAATTCCAGCTGGGAATACGGACTGGGAAGCAGCAGGAGCTGCTGCCAGGGCCAGGAGGAGCAGCTCTGTGAAGGGTCACATTGCCCCTGGTGCAGGTCCTGGCAGCAGAGCCCAGAGCCCTACGTGACACCGTGTGAGCTGCGGTTCGTGGCACGCCGGGGTTATTTTCCTACTGGAGAGCTGACAAAATCTGGTTGAAATTAATAATAGCAAAGGAGAGAAAATGAGAAGCATACAGGCTTCTCTTCAGCTGACTCTGAGCAAGACAGAGCCGTGCCAGGACAGAGTTTGCCAAGCCCTGCTCTGCATGCACGGGGCAGTGGGTACCAGGAAGGCCAACTGAGGCAGGAGCCCAGCACAGCAAGGGCTGGGGAGTGGGGCTTGGATCACTGAGATAGCAGAGATATTTATCTCTGCTATGTAAAGAAATTGCAGCTCATGTCTTCTGCAAGGAAGGCTCATCCCAGCCTCTTCCCTGAGCAGAAACAATCCCTGAAACCTCAGACACCTCCGTGGAGAACACAGGGAATTCTGCATTCAAACATAGGGAAGGTGAACACAAACTCAAAAAAAAAAGCTTTAGTTAGACACCTACATGGACTAACACAGGTAATACAGCAATCAAACACAGGGAAGGTGAACACAAACCCAAAAAAAATGTTTTATTAGAGACCTATACGGACTAACACAAGGAATAAAGCAATCGAACACAGGGAAGGTGAACATAAATCCAAAAAAAAGCTTTGGTTAGACACCTGCATGGACTAACACAGGTAATACAGCATTCAAACACAGGGAAGGTGAAAACAAATCCAAAAAACAAAGGGGCACAGAGTGAGGTGATTGCTTTGGCTGGCTGCACTCCCTGAACACACACAGGTCCTTCCAGAAGGAATACGGATTTATCTCCAACAAGAGCTACATTTCAGGGGGAAGAAAGTGGCAACAGCAGCTCTGCAAAGTATTCAATATTTGGTAGGGAGGCAGTTTATCTCCTTGCAGGGCTGAGGAGGAGGCGATGGATCCCAGCTGGAAGCACAGGCAGGGGAACACTGCAGAGGTTCGTTCTGTCTGGCCAAGCAGCAGTGCCAGGCTTTAATCCCTGCAGCAATTAGCCTGGATTACAGAGCAGGGCTGCAGGGAAAAGGTTAATTAAAATCCATCGAGATGAGCATGTGTGGGATTTAGTGACTTTATCTTTCCGGTACCAGTTTGTTGAAGATAATTCAGCAATTTCAAGGAGTGAAAAGACTGGATGGAGAGGACCCAACAGTTCCTGCTCCTGGGCAGGGGAGCACAGCCATCCCACACTATGGACACAGATTAGAATGAAAAAACCCTCAGCATTATTTCATTTCTTGCATGTGTCACACACAACATGAATAACCTGAGGAATTCGGATGCCCTGTTATTCCACACTCCCTGTGTCCAGACAAAACAGCAAGGTCCAGCAGTGCAAGGAGGCCATGGGAGAGGACAATGCTTCATCTCCTCTCTGCTAGCCTGGAAGTTTCTTCCTCCTCTAGGCTGAGGAAGGACGGCTGGGAAGGTGAGTGACCCACTGGAGGGAAGGAAAAGGCCATTTGGGTCAGTCAGAGCACCTCCACACCCTCGGCTTTCATCTCATCCTAAACCAGGCATTTGAGAAAGCACTCAAAGAGCTGTAGTGAGCTGTTGAGGCCAGTGTTCTATCCACTGCAGGTGGGAGGTGCCCAGAGCTTGCCCACACCACCTGTGCCATCCCCAGCAGCAGATTCCGAAGGCACCTCGGGAACGGATGCATCAGCTTTAGAACAATCTGCTGGAGGGAAAACTCTGCTTTGCCTCAGTCCCTGGCTTTGTCCTCAGCTCACCTTTTCCTGCCCCTGAGCACTGGGGCTGGAAGAGTGGCCCAACTCCCACTTGTGCTCCCCTGTGTGCCTCGGGATGGGGCTGTAATTAGGAATTACTCAGCGCGGAGCAGAGGTGCACGCAGCAACAAGCACCTGGACTTGCTCTGGACTTGCTGCTGCTCTCACCCTCTCCAACCTTCTCTCATCACTGTCTTACCCTGTTCCCTGTGCAGGCTGTCACTCTGAGTGAAAGATCTCCCTGTGGATTCCCAAACACGGACCTGGGAATGGAAGCCCCGGGTGGAAACGCAGGTCGTTGTTGAAGGAGCTAATGGAACACCATCAAACAACAGCTCTGCTGCTTTCTGGCTGCTTTAGAGGTTCACAGAGAGGATACCACAGCACCGGGTTTACTTGCCTGTGATGATGGATGTGAGTCCCCAGCAGAGCACAAAGCTCCTCCTGTGGGGCGGCTGTGTGAGGCACAAACCCGGCGCTGCCATCGGTCACTGCAGAGCCCCAGCAGAGCCCTGTCTGCACACCCGGGGCACATCCAGGCACCCCAGAGCTCAGTGAGAGCACAAAGCACCTCCTCCCTCTCCTGGCACGCACAAAGCTGCCGGTGACACGCACACAGCAGAGCTTTGTGCCTTGTGGCAGCTGCCAGCTGAGGGGACACGGCTGTGGGGACGTGCGTGCTGGCCGGGCAGATGGGAACTGCAGGGCAACCAGCACACAGAGCCTAAAAATCACACCAAGACAACATCTGGGACTCTAAAAGCGCACCAAGAGGACTCCTCCTACCTGTCAAAGAGAAGCTCAGGCAGCGAAGGAGAAATAAACCAAATTAAGCAAAGCTGCAGTGATTCCAGTTTAGGGTGAGAAAAGCCCTCAGCTGTGCAGCCCCAGAGGTACCTCACACCAGGGATAAAGCCAAGGCTGCACAGAGCTACCTGCCCATGGAGCTGAGAGGAGCAGGAACAGGATCAGGATCCGAGGAACTCTGCCTTAGGGAAGGGAAGGTTGGACCCAGCACAAAGCTGGAGCTCGGGAGCTTGTCTTGGAGA